GGAAATCAATTTTTAGTGTTCTTGGTGCCGACGTTGCGTTTCGTGAAACGGGTAATTGTTGATAAAAACGTTTAAGACGTAGCAATTCCGGTCTTAGTGACTAGCCGCGCCCCAGACAGCCTCAAAGCCTGAATTTGGGTATTTGCAAGATCTAATAGATGAAGATTCAACGCAAACCCACTAAGTATTCATATCTGAGTTATAAGTCACATAAACAGCTATTTCCAAGCGTTTGTACCAAATGGCGGAAATTCGAGAACTTGAAAGTTGGGTCTCCCACATGTGTTGACCGAACAAAACTTATGTTAGCGTATGTACACATGCCATTAACTGCTTGCCCGGCAAAGGAATTCCTGTGGAAAATTGTGACGGGTGATGAAAAGTACATTTTTGCGATAGTTCTAAACGCAAAAAAGTCGTGGGTTTATCCTAGGCAATCCAGTACATCAACGCCGAAACAAGACATCCATTTCGATATTGTTCACCTGTGTATGTGGTGGGATATGAATGATGTACTTCATGAAGAACTTCTGGAAACTGGTCATCGGACGGTGACTGCGGAAAGCTACAGCTGACAACTGAACAAACTACACAAAGAGCTTGATCAGAAACGGTCATTTACTGGGCGAGGAAGCAGTCACGTAACACTGCATCATGACAACGCTCGACCTCACATTGCTTGCGCTACTCAGAAGAGCCTCTTGGACTTGGGATGGGAAGTTCTCCCACCCGCGGCATATTCACCAGACTTGGCCCCATTCGGCAACCATTTGTTCTGGTCAACGCAGCGGCATGCCTTAGCGGTTAAACAATTTAAAACGCTGGAAGACATGCGCAAAATCGTCGATGACCTTGTTTCCCCGAAGCCCTCAAGGTTTTTTATACGTTACTTTAGAGATGCCGCAAAGTCATAGAAAACGACGGACTTTTTTTCACTATTAACTTCGTTGTCTTCAATTTTTTGCATTAAATAAATTTACTGAAAAATCTGTACACCTAGCACATCACACTGGAGGTCGTGATTAGTGCGACGCGAGTGCGTTGTCGTCAAAAAAAAGGGGCAGCAATCGGCTCAGCATGGTGCACGTGACACGCTTTAGGCGCATTCACCCATGCACATGAACAGGAAACTCTGCCATACGGTTTGTAAGGTTGTGGGGAAGATGGCAACCTGATGGGATGTACAAGATTCATTTCAGCCAAAATTGCTTTCCAGATTCAAAACAGAATACGCCTTTGAAAGCAAAGCGCGCAAATTCCACCGGCATTGTGCAAAATTAGGAGATGTGTTTGTGAGGCTTTAACAAGTGACTGTTTACAGGCTGAATAGTCTCGTTATCTGCCTCTGCGAAGATATTGAGTGGCATCTCTGATGGTGAATTTTAACGTACTATAAAGAAACTTTTTTACAAAAGTAGAGATACGTTAACTTGTGGAGTTCTGGATCCAGCGTTCTTCAAGTTCACAAAATCGCGGAAAAGTGCAAGAAGTGTTCTACAAGACTTCTGAATTAACTTAACCTCGTGTGAATAACAAATAGCGAGCGATTTGTTTTGCAGCCGAAAGTATTTTCAACATAATTGGAATAGGTTATCACATAAATATGAGAGAACACATTTTGCATTATAACCACGTTAAGCAGTAATGTGGGTCTTTTTCCATCGATATTTGATTTTAATCTCTAATATTGCTTACAGTGTACACTTTATGTAACTATAGAGACGGGTATGCTGCTGAGGATTACAACGGAATGTGTGATTTCTATGAGGTGCTTCGTTAAAAAACATTCGACTACCAGTTGGCTCAAAGTCCCGTTCCAAAGTTCTGGTCCGCCTACCAAGTGTGAAACAGATCGTGGTGATGCACGTGTGCGGGAGATGATAGAGAGGTATATAGTACCTTAGGAAGCGCATTAGATGGGTTACTTATGAATTGACCGAAATCCGTTCAACATAACAAATCAGTAGTTGGAACATGCTCTCAAACACAGAGAAATTGTTCCGTCTTTAAGATTAATCGTGGTTGGCGAGAGAAGAGTGGATTGTCTGCAACAGCCTCGATCGAATACAAACAGGGCACCAGTCAGTTATTGATGAACCAGCACAAGACCACATTGGATGCCACTAAATGGCATCAAAAGATCTGTCGAAGTCAATTCGATGGGCTTGCAAATTGTCTTCTACTTTGAGCTCCCGTTCCTGACTGTTACCAGCCAACGAGAGTGAAATCGGTGGGAGTTCAAGGAAGGCGACCAGAACTGGCGAGTCACGAGGGCGTGGTTGTCTGCCAGAACAATGCAAGGCCTCACTCGTGAAAACTTGCTGTAGCTCTGCGTCGTCCCAAATAGTGCCCCGTTATTTTACCCGGTGCGTTGAAGTATGTAAACCACTGCTGGCAAAGCTTTCAACAATTACATTGACGAATTGTAGTAGCATCAGGTTCAGTATTTTGCAAACAAACACCAGAAGTATCCCATAAACAGCAATACAGGTGGCATGATGTCACCTGCCACAACGGGGTGGATATTTAATTGACGAAAGCGGGTTATTAGCGAATGAAAAGTGAGTTTTATTTCACATCACCTAATCAAATTTACTTTTTTGTCTGATTGTCAGTTTTTTTGTCTCTAGAACAATATCTCCTGTCCTTCTAACTTTTCTTACCTTCACAGATCACTCACGTTAAACAGGTGGATTGACAAACTATCACCCATCGAAAGTAGGTTTGTGTTTTTATTGGCTATCAAACCCAATGTCGGAATTCAATAGGCCAAAGAAATGGCATTTTTGAGTCTTGTCAAGTATGGGGTGTAATCATTATTTTGACAGACAATGACGTGCATGACACCCAGGTAGTTTAATTTAATTAACTGATGACTTTTTGCGTTACTCTCCTGCTAGTTTCCGATTGGGTTAAAATAACTTTTTGTGGTACAGTAATTTCAATTATCCAACCAATTTACCCTTTTATGGAGAGCTTATGAAATGTTAATCAACAGTTGCTTTGGCGTTTTGAATGCATAGGAGATCAACTATACCCTTGTAGTCCTCCTAATTTGAATTTACCGTTAAACATTATAGATTTGAAGCATCTCTTAGCAAAACCAAGGTCGTTTCACCTACTTATGCAGTCTCTGCCATTGATTATAATTTTTTTAATTTCCACAAAGTTGGTGGTATTGGTGGATGAGACCCGAAATGTCCCACTGCACCAAATCATGGTTTTAAGGGAATACAGATGTCCTATTCGACCTTTGCCAAATCTTCGTTAAAAGGCATCACTTATCCGCCTTACTGACAATGCAATTTTGAGGCACTGATGTTTTTAATTTTGTCGTTCCAACATGTGACACTCCCCCACTCCGACCTGTCTTCTTCTGAGGGCGACACATGGTTCGTAGCCGTCGCTTTATGGCCAGCTATGTTTCTACGATGAATCGTCGTTTGATCAAACGTTTTTCCAGCGGGTGTCCTGAGCAGCACCGTCAGCATCCATTTAGACCTACCGATACATTTTTCATACACATGCATAAATTTCCATGCTTTGATATTAATTTTTAAGGACGATGTCATGCACCAGATTTTGAGCTTTGAGTCGAATCGACCATGATTTTTAACTATGCCCTCTACCCACAGTCGTAAATATCGCTTAAAGGAATTCTTCAAAATTTTACCACAATTAATAACTTTATTGAAGCAACGTATTTAGCACACAGAGCCAATTTCTTGACATTAATTACAATTTGAACAAAAGGTTAAAGGAAACATTTTCAGAATTCGCTGGTAAAGGTGAACGGCAGCCGAAAGCAGAGGCGAGTCTAGGGACCGAGCAACTTGGAGACTAGATTAAGTGCAGGCCAATTCAGAGCTAGCAAAGGTGGGATTTGATCTAGTTGCCAGCCGAAAATTTAAGCAATTCAAACGTCCAATAAATAGAATCAAGCAGTTATCAATGTTAAAGTAAATGTGAGCATGCGAACACAAAAGTGACATTTTCTTGGAATGATCATGTGGTGGTTATCCATAGTGAATTATAACACTATTACACCAAGTAGAGCCTTGGAGATTCTATATACTGATTATAAGTATAGTATTATATTTATAGAGTGATTAAATTATGGTGAAAAAAGTCTTCGCAACAAATATTTTGCACTAGCAAATGGAAATATAATGACTAAAATAACTTCATCAAAACGTTAAGAAAATCTTTATTTATAAAAGCCAATCTTTATTTGGACGAATTCATTGAGGCTGATAAATTTAGAAAAAACACAGTGGTTAGAAACCCAAACCTTAGAAAATATAGTTTTGCAAAATAACTGATTTCCTAAACATACACTAATAATTCGTTAATGCTATCAAACATAATAAGTGTAAGAACACACTGATGTGGAGACACAGACATTGTTAGTCTCTGGATTAAAACATCAGGGATGTTTGTTTGCGAACAAACCAGATCAGTAAAAAAGAAAGAGAAAATCCAGCTGAACGTCACACTAATATTTTGGAAAAAGTGTGGACTGCTTTACATTCGCTATTTTCATCATGAATCGCTAGAGTTCATTTGCTAAAACTAAATTTGGTAAACTAAGTGATGATCTACATCATTCAAACAGTGAAATCAGAATACTTTTATGTGGATGCATCATAAAACCATTAAATAATCTAGATAAGGCTGCGGAAAACTTAGCAGATGTGCTTTTCCCAAAAGGGCAGTATGTGAAGAAAAAATGAAAACAAAACAAATTGCACAAATGTGAGATATTATGCCACGTTGTGTCTAGAGACATCAATAACACAAAAATTGAAAATAAATCACAATGAAGTATAATAATTATGGCATAATTACTATGGTTAAGTGACACTTTTAGGCAATCCTAAAAATTGCCTGACTGACATAAATATCTAACATGCAATGACGAGACTCCTTAAAAATATTAACATTATAATTTTTGTGCTTTTTGTTTTTTTTTACGTATTTCGACAGAATTCATTATCTAAATGTGCACACCGTTTGATTTCGTTCGATGGTCACATGCCACATTGACTTTAAACTTACTACACATTGGTGTGGTAATTTGAATTCGTTGTGCTCCCTCTTTCGCCATATTAGCGGCAAGTTCCTTCGATAACGCTTATTCCTTGTCTCTTTTTGTAATTTATCGTAAACCAATGAGAAATTCCCAGTGCGTTCATGTTGATTCTTTTCTGTAGGGTTAAGTCCTCACCAGACGCTTAAATTAGCCCGAAAACAAGGCAATTTGCACCGTTTCTGTGCGCTACTAAAGGGCTTAGTTTTATTCATTTTTAGTTTTTCCTGAATCTAAATTTGTTCTATTAGTTTTTTCATTTATGTTGTCTTGACCCAAATTTAACTCGTTGGGCCAAGGTAAATGACCAACAATATCTTCGCCCTTCTTCACCCACATTATTGTTTTATAGCATTGTCTTCTCCCAAATTGCAGCCCATGGCTCATATTGCATGTGCCATTTGTAGCTATCTTTATTAACACATTTTCTAAAGCTTGTCTTTGGTTTTTTTTTCTGTTTAAGCAAATTGAGCCGTCTGTTTTAAGTGTTTTTGCTCTATACTAATAATGTCTTGTGTATTAAACAACTGCCCCGTTAACTGATTGGAAGATGTGATCTCTTTGGCATAAACCTAAGTTCTAATAATTTATCTGAATCTTTTTTTAGACTCGAATCAGTAACCATGAGTGAAGATGTCGTCGACCCCATCGTAAGAGCTTGTTAACTAAAATTATGTCTTACCCTAGCACGAGCTTCGCAAAGAATGCCGCGAAACTCCAGAATGTATCAAATTTGACAAGTTGTTTGAGGCTTGCTCTGTTCGTCAACCAAAGACCAAGGAAAGCTGCGAAGAAGAACTGATTGATTTGATCCAGTGCGTAGACAAGTGTGTTGGCCCCAAACTGTTTGCCAAGTTAAAGTAAATATCCAAGCCTCAAAAATGAGTTAGCACCGCACCTACAAATCAGGGAAATGCCTTCGCCTTAGTATTTTTTCTTTGTGGTAATTTTGGCAAATGACTGAATGCAAATGCAATTTATTTTGCCTAGCAATGTTCTTATGCTAATCTGTGATGATGCTTCCAGTGTACTAGTGTGTTTAAATAGCCACTTGTAAAAAGCAGCCATCTATTTTTGCTAAAAACACTCATGGAATTGGTTAGGCTCGTGGGTTACGCAACCTTAACCCAAGCAAGTTGATAATTCGCCTACAGTTCGACTGTAATCCTAAGCTAGACTTAACTTCAGACCTCGAGTGAGTCAAGTGAGTTCTTGCCCCATTTGTTTTGGTTGTCGACGGTCACGTTGTTCAATCTGATATTAATCAAATTCCATTAATCTCCGCCGGTGTTTTGGGTTTTCTCAACCTATTTACTCTGAGATGGTTTAGTTCGAAATTCCAGCCGCGTATTCGTGCCGAGACAGGCTTGTCTGTACATTAATGACAGTAGGGGTACGATGCATACGAATAGAATTATTTACACCGGCAATACGTGGCCATGTGGGGTTGGTAAATCTGTTGAGAATTCTTGCAACTATTCCTGGTGTCGATTCTGGATCGAAGCTAGGGCATTTTCTCGGATTTCTTGCCTAGTATTCTAAACAACTTGAGGGAAGTCACTGAAGAAAATCATATAAGGTATTGCTAGACTATGTAATAAGGGTAGTTGTAATGCATTTTGTTCCATCGTGGACGGTTACCATGATTCCTTATCTCATTATTCTCATTTACAAAGCCCCGAAATAGAAGTCAATTTTTTTATTGATTTCTTAGTGGAAATGGTTAGGTAGGAGGGGACGATAGATATGAAACGTTTTTTTTTCAAAACGATTGTTTTCGTGCAATGGCCACGAGGTCGGATTCTCTTTGTCAATGGTGCCTTGCGCGTCCCGCTCTACTCAGATGACTGTCTGACCACTTCACTCCGGTGGCATTATAGAATGTCTATAAGCCATTTTTGCATTGAACCACATCGGCTGTTCAACTAATCATCGGCCAATCAGAGACAGAAATCAATAAAAGGCACCTACTTGACTAAGTACGTAGTTACTTAGGTCGACCGTTTTTGCTGTACACCTGTCCATTTCATGGCAGAATTTGGGCGTATTGCAGCTACCTAAGTAATCTAATATTGGAGTGCTATTTAAGATACGGCTTCAGCATTTTCGCCTGAAATGATTGGAGCAAATGACTTATAATTGCCGTTTTCTAAGTGAAACCTCGGTACCTTATAAAAGTCCGCGACGGGGTGAGCGTTGTGCTCATTAGAGATTAAACATTGCAAGAGGCATCATAGTGTAGCGTAGAAATAACAGTTGGGTGATTTACACGCAGTAAACTTCATTTGCTGCAGTTTGGACTAGATGTATGTTCATGATTCTAATGGCAACGAATAAGATGGAAGGGGCTAGTTCAATTCCAATTAAGGAATTCACCTATTCAATTTCCCTGTAATCTAAACCACTACGAATAGATACTTCTTTAGCAATTAAGGTGGGTGGAAAAATGTAGATGAGGAATTTTATTAAGAACGTATTCATGCTTAATTATTGCAGTGTGATTAGTCCTAGAGAAAAATCTGTACACGAATGATTATGAACCTTCATTGGGTCAGAGGCTCAGGCAGAATTTGTGAATAATGGAGCGTCAGTGCGTCGATTTTTGCCAGTCCGGATTAACTTCGAACGGCGCCAAGCGTAACTTCGCCACCAACAAAATTCAGGACATCTATTCTACAAATTAGCATCTCCCAGCTTTAAATTCTAGTATTGTTTCTGCTTCCACATTATTAACAAATTTCATATCATAAAAAAGATTGAACTTCTTCCTAAACTGCCCATACATGAGACCATTTTCAAGCAAGCAATAACAAGACTGGTTCTACTCTCAATGACTAACATCAATACTGGCACTGGACCAGGTGGAATGTAGTGTCATTAAAGCAAACATGAAAATTATGTAGAAAGTTCACTCGACCTTAGTTTGAACACAATGAAATTACTAATAAATTTTAAAATTGAGGTTTTAGGAATCACATTTTAGGGTTTCTGTAGAAACAGAGAATTATTACCATAAGCTAGAATTGTTGTGCCACCAAGCGGCCAGATGTATCTGTCAGCCAATTTTCTAATCTAAATATTATGGTGAGATCTTAATTTAAGGATCCGTTGCCTCATTAAAAGTAAAGGAACCATTAAGAAAGCGTAACTGAATTTAACAGTTCTTATAGCCGTTTTATAGGTCCTTTAAAAGTATTTTTAATGTGGGTCAAAGAAACACGTTAGTGACTTTGCAGTAATAAAAAAGATAAATTACGGTTTGATTTCATAAGAGAATATAAAAACTGTTGTGATACGACGCAGCCCTAAGTCCTCGAGCATGAAAAAAAGCAGACGGAGAGATAGAAGTTAATTTAATAACTCAGCTGCGTTGTTTTGCCGTGCACATATTTAAAGGTGTGTGTGACTACCTAGTTGTTGACAAAAGTAATTTGGGTTACATAGTATGAATACAAAAAATCGGTTGGGCATATGAGTAAAGCAAGTAGCTGGGGGGATGCACGCACTGATTAGAAGGAGTGAACGGTCCGGTATGTCTGATGGGCACGGTGTAAAAGTAGGACTATGTCTGAGAATGCGACCACAGAGCTTGTACGATTGAAACGACACAATATGCTCAAGTGATTTCGAACAAAGTCAAAAAATAATGTCTGAAGCTTTAAAGCTAAAAAAATTATATAATAAGGTGACGGAAAACATGTAATGCTTGACATCGCCCATTTGCGAAAATAGCTGTAAAATTCTAAAATCAACTCACGATGATAATCGATTTGACGTAGGGTAGTTTTTAAAGCATCAACTTAGCACTTTTACCTTATAAAACATTAGAATGCACCACTTTCGAGACAAAAGACTCGCTTAAATCCCTTGAGCGGAAGCAATTTGTCAGTCTGAAAATTTAATTCCTTTTTGAAATGTTATGGTTTTTTGGTGAGATTCGCAATTTAATATTGTACAAAACCGCAACATTTTATAGAAGCTGGTTACAAATTAGCCGTTAATCTAATATTTAAAAATTAAAATGCACCTTTGTATCATCAAAATATTAGTTACAGGCGACCTTGGAATGCCGCGTCTTTTTAACACCACAAACTCTTCATTTGATGTATTTCATGTTGTCTTAAAGAGTGGACAAATAACTTTTTACACCTTGATGTGAGTCATAAAGATAGTCTTTTAAGATAAAAATATAAACCACTTCACAATTTTCACCTAAAATATCTTATATTTCATAAATTGCAAATAATTGAACAATTTTTAGACGTACAAAAGTAAATTGTATTTATAAAACGGCTGCTAAAAACTGATACCTTCGAACAACTATGGGTCAAAACGCAAAACAGGAAGTGGGTTTTTTTAAATTTAAATTGTTTGTAGATATTTGAGAAACTATTTCCCCTCAAAAAATTCGAGCATGTCATCCAGGTATGTTGATGAAATAATATCACTTGCCTTTTCAACTCGCCCATGACTTAATTATAAATTTTAGCGTCTACCAGACCCTCATTATAGTAGCAGCTTTGCAAAACATCTTCCTTCCCTCCCTTTACCCGCAAAGCCCGAGGCTCCGTCATCTTTATTTGCTGTAAGTCGGGATTGTCTGGGAATGTTTCTCGTTACTACACGTGCATGATTTATAAAATTTTCACGACCACTTGTTCTAAAAATATTATTAATCTCACATGAGTTAGTTTTGGTTTTCGTTTAAAAATGAATAATTGGAATTTGTCTTGCCATAATTGCTATTCTCATTATCACCAACTAGGAATCTTCAACATAAAAGGCGTTTAAAAAGTTTTTATTTCTTGTGTGTTTTTTTTTTATTTAACTCATAGAGCAACCCACGACGCAACCTTTCTAGATATTCCCAGAAATGCTGTTTGCATATAGGCGGTGGCAATTCGTGGTTGTAGGCTCCTTGTTTCATTAGCCTGTAGAGTATAATGTGAAGTAGCCATTTGAAAGTATTTATGCAATTATTTTAAAATTTCATGGTTAATTCAAATACAACTTTAGCCAGAAAATCATGTGGTTATCGAAATATTTTGCACTAGTTTATCAAGTACCTGTTATGGTGTGACAAATCGTGATAAGTTAAATTGTTTAAGAACAAAATACTTTGTTGCTTTCATAAAGATGGTCAACCGGAATGCAGAGCACCCTCCCTTGATTGCCCAGTTTACAATGACACAAGCAGCTCCATTTAAAGACCAAAAATACCACCGCCCACCAAGTCAGTCCATCGGTAGCAACTACTCTCCGTTGGCCGCGCGGCTTCAACTGAACCGTTTATTTGTTTGCCGTCTGCACTCATCCGATTCTGGGGTCCCAGCGAATAAACGCGCTAAACTAGATGAAAATCAGCACTTGTAAGCACCAGTAATACAATCAGTTTAAATAAAAATTGAGGGATTTTAAATCTACAAGTCCCCATTCACAGACTTTTTTAACTATCTCAAAGAATTATCCAGACTTTTCATTTTTAACTTACTAAGGATTCAAAGCGAAAAAGTCAATTGTTACATTTGAACGAGATCAAGAGCTCCCGATCTTGTTATTGATGACATTTTCTTGAGTCGATCAGATCTGTTTTTTTTGAAACTGGGATCATTCGCAGTCCCGTTTTAAAAGTGCCTCGTCAACGTAAGCCTATGGGGACTGGACAATCAATAAACAAAATGATTAAATACAAATAGTTTGATTCTATTGAAGAATAACTGGAGCTTGCAGTAACAAGATTAGCCAATAGGAAGTGAATATCCACCCCTACACAGTCACTGCTTCCAACGCTTGGATTGGTCAAGTCTGGGATGCCGTTCTTTTATTCCACATAGAATTACTTCCAACTCGAGGCCAAGGTCACCGCTTACTCAGATAAAAGAGATGATGTACACCGAGTCAGAGTTTCGGCGACACATTGAAGAACCCTCCGATCGCGACATTAAGGTGAGTGGCCTCATGCACTATCGGTAATTCTTCGAGGTTTCTCGTTTTTAACAACATCAGTTTTGATTTGTTCCAGTAAGATTTAACTCAAAACACCAACTGGTATTAATCGTAAATAAAATATATTTTAGCTAAGCAATTCATGTCTTATTTCACTGCTAATGACTTATTAAAATGAAAATTATTTGGTTTATTAATGAAGGAACTGTGGGAATCAGAATCGCTTAGAGCAAAGCTCACCAATTAAAAGCACGTGTTGGATTGCATTATTTAAAAAATAGTGTCTACTACAATGAATCAGTACGCAGATTAATCCGACGAACTAGTTTTATCAGAGCACACAATCTCAATTATTAACACAATTAGTCATAAGTGGCTACACGTAGATCTACATAACACATTCTACAATTTAGCGCTACCTGTACTACATAGAACATGGCGTCCCTGACAAAATGCTTGCTGAACCACCTGATCGACTGTGGAAGAGTCTGAAGTGCAGTGTGCCTGAGCGACTGGTTAAGCGTTGGAGCCAGCTGTCCCAGGATCTCCTTGATGAAATCACCCAGGGCTACAGAAGGGCAGTTAAGAAGGCAACAGGTAGGCCGTTTCGAATGCGTAGCTTTGAAAAACGCAGCCCCAACCTCCAATTCTTCCTTTTGATTGGTTAGCCAGACACTGACACAAACACTATCACACTGCTAGGGTAGCGCCTGCTTGCATATCCGAGTTAATATTGACAAAAGTAAAGAGCCTAAGAATCGGCGGACACAACTGATTGGTGGATATGTTTTAGTGGATTATATTCTCATGGATCCGGAGGAGCGACTGAGGTTGTTCATCAAATGGACGCCAATTCCATACCCGACCTACGTTGTTAGATCACCGGTTCCGTGGCACAATGAGATGGCAAACAGGATTAAGTTGTGTCAACTCGGGCTTTTCGTGCCCTCTGCCATGAGTCTAGCTCTAAGCCAACTGTGGCACACCAAGTAGGTCCTTTCTTACTTTTTAGTCCATTTATGACCTACTGTCAAATAATCAGTAGACAATAAATTACACCAATCGATTCTCCTCTTGAGGTATGCTCACTTACGATTCGTGGATGTTGAAGCCTTCAAAAGGATTACTGACCCGCTACCTCCAGCTGAATTCGAAGGCCTCGTTCACAAGCATAGCTTTGAAACGCGTGATATTCTCCGTAAACAGTATGCTTATTAATTATTCGAGTTTTATATACTAATTTCATCATTTTTTTGGATATCAACCATCTATGCAAAATCCATTTTAGGAAGCTCGGGCACGAACGTTTAAACTACTACTTAACATTTGGCAGTAGTGTATTTTATCCACTAATGGCTTCACTTAAATTAACCACGCTTATTTGTGACGTTTTATGACTATCAGATATCGACGAATATCCAATAAAATGATTTGATTTGTGTTATGGAAACCCTTAACGGTACAGAAAACTGTAGAATATATCTACAATTCTTGGTTTTGAACCCCGGATACGCTGAAATCTCCACTACACTGTTGTTAACACTTGTTAAGATCCCCAGTGCTGAGACACCCAATCGGTGTTAACCAGGTTGCTAGTGGTTTCCCGTTTCGTTGTTATTGATCTGCGATTGGCCACCTGTTAAACCACAGAAGTCGTGGAGAGCCATGTTCTTTACTCTCGAGGTTGAAATTAGCCAACCACGGCCGTGTCCAACACTATCACCTGACGGCAAACATGAGCGAGGCGATAATTGGGGGAAAAACTGACCACTCCGCCTGTAGACTTATCTTACGGAAAGAGTAGAGTACCACGAACAGGCATCCGAGAATCGACAATTTCCTGCGACCATTTACCGTGAACGACACCACAATAGACTGCTACAAGATCATTTTACAAGTCGTTTTCCCACTGATTTCGCTGTCGCCACACTTTCTTCGTGCATGGCTGAACATTTCAAGGAGATTTCGCTTCAGTCTCGAGGTGGTGCACGTCGAATATGTCCCATTAATTTAGTTTCGTAAAATACCTAATAGGCTGAAGGACTAAAACCCAAATGGAGGATACATCGAGGGGCTTCTTGCAACCCACGCAGAGATGAACCTTATGAAACGGGAAGTTAAAAAAAGTCCTTAAATGTGGGCACTTCATCGATGTTTAGATGGATTCCAGACTGTGCGCGAACGTTTGTTGAGCTGCGCAACCAGTGGGCGCACTTGCTGCCGGAGAACAAGACGGCGCCGCTTAAACAGACGCAGGTCTTCTTCTCCAGCATCGAGGCCCTGATGTCCGTCCAGCTGAGGAGCATCGTCGAGGCGTCTATCTACGAGCTGACGGAGTTCATCGAGGAATTCAAGGTTGGTTGTGCGCGACCCTAGCTGTTGCCTTCGACAAGGCGTTGATTGATTTGGGGATGTCTTATTCGGTTACCCACTCTAGGCGTCGAACGCCTTCCGCAATGCGTACGACGAGATGTCCTTCGTGAAGCGTCCGCTTCTATTGATCAAACTGAAGGCCGCCGAGCCGAAGGTCGTCTACTCACCGAGTCTGCGCGAGATTCGCGAGCACCTCATCAGGTGCTTCCAAACCATCACGAATGCGGCTACCAACCTCCCAAGAGTGCGTTCTTCCATTCCTTATTAATCTACGGGTTCTGGGAGTTCAATAACGTAAAATCAAGGCCTAAATGTGTAATGTGAAATCTGCCAACGACTGTAAAGCAGCAAAATGCGATTGGCTTTGAGGTCACTCATTCCTTGCACTTAATTGGCTAAAATTAAATACCAATCAGAACTTGGCATTTGAAAGTTGCAAGTAAGCATTAAGAAACGTACCACGTTTGGTGGTAACGAAAGTGAAACTGTAGTTTACTTTGGAGCCGGAGTAAAATCAATCGATAAACAATGAGAAATAAGCTCATCAGAAAACAGTTGGTCTCTGATGTTGGCACAGGCTTTGAACATGTAAGAAAACAAAAATATCCGATTAAATTTGATTACACGGCTGGTACGAAAGAGTAAAAATTGTATCAACTCGAAATGGCGTGTTGCGGTTGACGAAACCTAGTCAAATCAGACTTGGTATTCTGTGCGCAGGTGGAGACGGAGCTATTTCCGGGCATGGTGAACCAGCCCATCTACATCCGGAGTGTCAACTACCAGGAGGACTTTGTGTCTAAGTGCACGGACCGCTCCATCCACGTTTTCCGCCTGAACTCCGCCGGACCACGGCACTACATCGAGTACTACCGGCCCTACGTGAACCTCCTCAACAACAAAGCCGAGATGGAGCTTCGAAGCTTTATCAAAGAGCGCCACAACCTAATCATGCTGAAGAAAGTGAGGAGATTTGATTATGCAACTTCAAACGAGACAATCCGATTGGCGACGACATAAGCACCAAAGTTTTTACCAGGATCATGAAAACTTTCTGCCCACATCTTAATTCCGGTTATACTTTGAGATGCTATTGGTAGCACAGAAGTCACAATTGTAGCGGGGACTACAACACACCCAGTGATTAGTTCCTATTGGTTAAGTAGGAGTGGCCAAGTTAGCACTACCATACAACCCTCTACTTAACAGTCAATAAAAAAAGAGGTGAGTCATTGGTACAATCGGGCCATCGTACACGCATCACTCACGCTAGGTGGCTGCCTGTCCACGTCGAAGTCAACCAATCAGACGAAAGCTATCAAAATACTTTACTTTTCGCTGCTAAATGTAAAAGCATATAACGTTTTAGAGGTTTTTTTTTGCAGAAAAAGCAACATCTGAAAGAAGAAGATCCGCTCGCAGTGCAACTGAAGGAGAGCTTAAACGAAGTCAAAAGGGTGAGATTTTCATCTAACGCTCCTGGATAGTCAATTGCCCATTGGTTGTACCTCTACCATGGGTACATACTAGTCTTCAACTTCTGACATAGCGAAAGCTATTGGATAAACGGTAACCGTGGTGTTCTACCTCCTGCACTAGCAACTTGATGGCTTTACGGACTTACGGAAGGAGATTCTAGGGCTTCGTTTCACCGTGCCGCTTCAGCTCTTCTGCCTCGACTGCAAGGCCGTCAACTTGAATTTGGCGATGCGGACGCAGAAATTACGCGACATCCTGCAAAACTTCGAGCTTGACGAAGCGAGAGAAATAAACAGGAGGTGCGGGTCGATGTCACCCTACTTGAAGCGACCACAACTTAGATAGCGAGTCATGAGCTGAAATTCCAACTTTCAGGCCGCAGTTGCTTCCAAACAGACTAACCAATTATAATGTTAGCTCACGCCTATAGTGGCGAAGTTGTTGGCAGTTTTCGGGTTATTCCAATGTTTCGTCGTAATGCTGCATGGAGCCACGTATGTTAGATCTAGTCGTGTCCTTAAGCATACCTTTCACTATTACCAGATAGCATTAATTGGTGTGCTTATCTATTTTGCAGAACGATCTGAGCTTGTGACTAAAAGTGGTCAGTTTGAAATCGAACCTGATCTTTAGTCATCTTTCATTGGATGATCCTGTGTAGGTAATTATTGATCAACTAGAATACTAACAATAATTTAACCGCTATTCATGTCACGACATCTGTGCCAGTTCCGTCCACATAAATCTGTCCATTTGGTTGTGGGGTACACAGAACCGTGGAACTAGAAATCCACATCTATGCGTTGGGATCCATGTCAGAGTACCAAGATGAGATATCTAGTAAACCTGGCGAAAATGGGGTTTGGAATGTGGACGAGGTGGCGGTGTGTTGAGGAGGTCAGTGTTGAGGCAAACGATACCAGCAGATAGGAAAAGAGCAAGTCGAAGACACAAGGACACTCGAACAGGCTTTCATCTTTGCAGCATCTGCCGACGTTACGACGCCATTACGAATAAACTCAGCGAGGAGCCCACCAACACACAGGCCCTGGTCGACCTTCAGGACTACCTCAAGAGCACAAGCGGCACGACCATCTTCAAACTGCAAGAGGAGGTCGCCGAAGCCGCCAATCATCTCATGTTCCTGCTAGACTACACCTTCATGTCGGGTAGGTTCGTTAGCTGTGGTTATGGTGCGAAATCGACAGGTACAAATCGCTAAAAAGTGACTAAATGATCAGGTAAGTGGCATTGACAGGGTGACCGGAGTTCATTGGATAGTGTCAGGTCTCATTTGTAGTTCACTAAACAAAATTAGGTCCCAGAATGAGTCATAGAACCCACAGACCCTCACGATCATTGTGACGCTCAGTAAATAAGGCCATTGGCTAATCAGCTTTTTGAGAAAAGTGCCCAATCTCGAAATTACGAATGCCAGGTGTCAAAAAGAGTGGTTGGATGTGTCGCCCCTAGCACTTTGTGTCGTCAATCACAAAACCACTAGCGTAATTCCTTGTTGTTACAGAAGATGACATCCGATTGAATTCTAACCTCTTTTCGTGGCCACGATACATCAATGTGGTGCTTGACGTTGCGAACAACCGCTTAACGAATCTGCGAGACGCAGCGGAGGATGTTTTGAGAGCTCGCGTTGTCGCGTTGAAGGATAAAATTGCAAATTCCGGGGATTACGTCCAGGTCATGCAGAAGAAGGAGACTCTTTCACAGGACGATCTAAAACGGGCGAATGCCACGCTAGATGCCTTCGAGGCCATGATGAACGAGTTCAAGGAGGAGGCCGAGGCAATCACATTGTAATTTTTGTAATTTTAAGCTTACTAGTCATTTTCAGTAAACATTTTATTGCATTCTTGATTTTTTTTAATGTTAAAGGGAGGAGCGACTTTTACAATTCGAAGAGAGCGAATTCCCACAGATTACCGAGATGCGCAAGGCTATGGAGCCTTACGAGAGGCTCTGGCGAATAGCCAGAGATTTCGAGGAGAAGAGCAAGATCTGGTTGCACTCGCCGTATTGGAAAGTTGACGCTACGGAAGTAGAAACCGAGATCTCAGACATGTACAAGACAATTCATCGACTCACGAAGACTCTCATTGATCAACCGTCGTCGTTGAAAGTTGCCCAGAAAACCAAAGCAAGTCCCATCGGCATACGCTAGACTCACTATTGATCCAAGCAAATATGTTCCATCATTGCGTTCATGGCATGACGCGTTTTCCTTCGTTTAGACCAAACTCGAGAAGTTCCGGGAGTACCTGCCGGCGATCCAGGTGGTCTGCAACCCGGGCATTCAGGCCCGCCACTGGACGCGGATGTCCGAGGTGGTCGGCTTCGATGTCACGCCCACGCCCACCACCGAGCTGCAGACGTTCCTCGACTACGGCCTGACCGATTTCCTGCCGAAGCTGGAGGAGATCGCCGCGTCGGCTGCCAAGGAGCACAAGCTGGAGGCGACGCTGAAGAAGATGAAGTTGGACTGGGCGAACATGCGGTTCGAACTGCTGCCCTATCGTGACACCGTAAGCCCCCCTTTCCGACGTCTCCCAATTGTGCTTTCCTTTTCTTCTTTGTGGAAAACCCATGCGTTGCGTTACCTCCGCATAGCATCAACTCATTATTTGGGAATCAGCGAATGTGTATTTAAATGAATAGGTCTTCAGTTTGATGCTACAACGACCAGAGAGCATCAAAACAGGATCGAATCTACAAGGGAAGCTGCACGTTCTGATTGGCTAGTTTGAAGTTGATTCTTGAAGGCATGGAATGTCAAAGATGGCATTCTAGAAAATCAATGTTAACTCAGAAAACCTTTTAAATCTTAACTCCCTGCTGCTTTCAGGGTGTGTGCATTCTGTCGGCAGTGGACGACATCCAGGTGCTCTTAGACGATCACGTGATCAAGGCGCAGACGATGCGCAGTTCGCCGTTCATCAAGCCGTTCGAGGAGGAAATGAAGGCGTGGGAAACGAAACTTGTCACCATGAACGAAACCATCGACGTCTGGCTGAAGGCAAGCCACTCACCTTCTTGCTCCCTTGATAAAGTTCAAACCAGCTGTTCTGGAAGCCTGGAGGTCCTAGTTAAGGCAAAAGTTGTCGGTTTAGCTCAAACTGTTTACGCGATTCCTTGTTAAGTTTTGGAATGCAGGACTGGACTTGCGTGACACCGTTGAGTTCGGCCAATATTTCTTCTGCTTTAGGTCCAGGCAACGTGGCTCTACCTCGAGCCGATCTTCTCTTCCGAGGACATTCTAGCTCAGATGCCGGAAGAAGGCCGCAAATTCGGCGTCGTTGATGTGCTCTGGCGTGAGGTGATGGCGGAGGCAGCTAAGAACCCCTACTGCCTGGTCGCCACCGACCAGCGTGACATGCTGCGTCGACTCACCGACGGCAATTACCTCCTGGAGGAAATTCAGAAGGGCCTCAACGACTACCTGGAGAAGAAACGTCTCTTCTTCCCCAGGTGGGCTTCTGCTTGAACTACCTCAGAATCCTTCAACGATCTGGTCGAAAGTGCAGTTAAACGAAGGCTTAAAACCAACTGGTGTTTTGGTGTAAGGCAGTGCATTGTAGTAACATTGGTTTTGAAATGCAGGTTCTTCTTTCTGTCGAACGACGAACTGCTCGAAATCCTCTCGGAGACCAAGGATCCGCTGCGTGTGCAGCCGCACTTGAAGAAGTGCTTCGAAGGCATCAGCTGCCTGAACTTCACCGAGCAGCAGGAGATCATCGGGATGGTCTCGGCCGAGGGCGAAGTCGTGCCTTTTGTGACGAAGATCTACCCAGCCAAGGCAAAGGTACCCGGCCTCACATTATCCACGGCTTGGTTCTCAGTTCCCTGAAAATAAGTCCAAGAGTGACGTCTGTAGCGCCTCACAATCCAGACTCCTGAAACACTATGCCCATTCACACCAAAAGTACTTTTAGCTCCAATGATCAGATTGTCGGGGCATCGATTACTGGCTTTGCATTACTACCTTAGACGTCGTTCATCGTTGTTTTTAAACAGGGTATGGTGGAGAAGTGGCTTCTTCAGGTGGAGGAGATGATGATTCAAAGTATCCGCAAGGTAATCGTGGACAGCATTGCGGCCTACGAAGCAACGGTTCGCGAGAAGTGGGTCCTCGATTGGCCGGGTCAAGTGAGTCGCGCGAAATCTAATCTAGCCAAAAGACACCCCAGGACCAATCAGCTTTAAGGCATCGTGACCAAGTGACCTTAATGAAGTTGATGGCTTCTCTTGTTCCAATGCAGGTTGTTCTGTGCGTCGCAATGATCTACTGGACAACCGAGGTTCAGAAAGCCATCGCAAGCCAGAAGCTATTGCCACAGAAGGTCAAGTGTGACAGACAAATAGAAGACATCGTGGATTTGGTAAGAGGGCCTCTTACAGCGGGTGAACGCCTCACTCTCGGTGCTCTCATCGTTCTTGATGTGCATGGTATGTTTACCTAATGCTATTATCACGCATACACCACTGATAAGTTGCGATCAGTCGGCCTATATCCTGCACAGATGTAGCCAAATTTATTGACTAATTTCTCCTTACTCCTACTGACATCGACCAATCACTCGACAGCTTTGACGATGAAGTCGAAGAAATCGTAGCACTTGAACACCGAGGACAATGTTGAAGGCTTTTGAGTAAAATTCTACTGCAGGCAAAGTGGTGTGCTCAACCCACAAATTACCCGGGTGGTTTCCTTATTTCTCCAGCGCGTGACGTGGTGGCAGAACTCGTGACAGCCGATACCAGTTCGATTACGGCCTTCGAGTGGCTGAGTCAATTGCGCTACTACTACTCCGCCAGGGAAAACCACTCCATTTTCGTCCAACTCATCACTGCTCAACTGGTGTATGGGTAAGCACGGACGTTTGATTCCAGGCTGATTTTGATCACGAGCGTCACAAAGGGAGGTGTGGTTACAGCCAATTCCAGTTAAATCCCACTGCACAAAAATGCGTTAGTTGTGTTCGGACTTTTGTAAAGAAAACGCCTCATCTACTACCATTTGAAGTAAGTAATATAGGGTGTTTGATTCCAATGCAGATGTGAGTACCTCGGCAATTCCCCGCGCCTTGTCATCACACCGCTAACGGACCGCTGCTATCGCACCCTAATGGGCGCCATTCAGTTGAACCTGGGCGGAGCGCCCGAGGGTCCTGCGGGAACGGGAAAAACGGAGACGTCGAAGGTAACCGCGTTCCCTGCTTCTACCGGCCAATGAAAACCTCCGATTTTACCAATGCTGGGACCGTTAACCCTGTTGCAAATGGGTTTTGATGGATCCCAAGTGTGTTGAAGAGGGATTTGGCAGAAGTATCAAAAGTTTCGGTGTTTCTGTGGAAATCAGTGGAAAATTTAAACGTGTGGCTTCCATACTTGTAAATAAGCACATTTGGTGAGCTAGTGAGCGCAGGGCTGTTGGCAAAGTGTACGGGTGCCCCGAGTTCGAGTCCCGCTGACGTCACGTTTTTCGTTTTCTTCCTATCAAAATTGGTGAGGGAAATTTGGTTCTATCGTTCGGTAATACCTTCATTTCTATACGTGTAGGTGTTTCAGTTGCTCTTTATCGGTATCTACTTGAGGGGAACATCCTTTGGGTAGTAATTTTCGTGAAAAACACGACTATTCAACGTTTGGCCAAAAAGCAGGCACACTCACTCGCTTGCCAAATGTAAATAAGTCGCGTGTTTAAGTTTACTACTGATTTTCTCAGACACCGCGGCCTGTTTGGAGAATTCCAATCAGCTTATTATTTCAGACAAATTCCTCTTCAGCGAAATTGACACCAGTCACAATCCGTTTTAACAAGATCGATGGTTCCAGTGTAGATTTCAGTTTAGTGCATAGGTCCCGGGTGACGCCAGGTGATCGCGTCGGAAGAAAGCTGCACCAAAATCCCGACTGTTGTGATCGTGTGGGTTGTCATGGAGTACTCACGGACGGTGACCAATGAGAGGCCAGGGTTGCTGACATAAACTAATCACCTTGTGATAAACCCGTTCGGACAAGCCTTCATTGACAGTTCAAAACCAAGTTTAATCACACTAGCTGTTGTGACACTTGATATCAGAATGGAGTTGCTATCACCTCGGTCTAACCCGGAGACAGCCTATGATGATTTGATGACAGATTCACCAACTGCAGAAGTAGTTCCAAAGTTGAGGGAATTTTCGTGATTCAATTCAATTGTGACTGTTAGCGTTAAAAATTGTTGATGTAAAGGACTTGGCGAAGGCAGTTGCCAAACAGTGCGTCGTCTTCAACTGTTCCGATGGTTTGGACTACAAGGCGATGGGCAAGTTCTTCAAGGGTCTGGCTCAAGCCGGTGCCTGGGCGTGTTTCGATGAGTTCAACAGAATCGAGTTGGAGGTGCTCTCTGTGGTCGCCCAGCAGATCCAGTGCATCCAGATCGCCATCGCACAGGGCCTGAAAAAGTTCGTCTTTGAGGGAACCGAACTGGAGCTCAATCCAACCTGCACCATCTTCATCACCATGAATCCCGGCTATGCTGGTCGCCAGGAACTCCCCGATAATCTAAAGGTACGTCAATTCTGTTCACACACAATAACTCACCCCACCCCCCATTTGGTCAAGCAAATCAGTTTCTGGTTTGCGGTGGATACCAGAAATCGTCCGTTTAATGATCGGAGACTAAACATGGAGTTCCCGGAAAAATAATGACCTACGCAGCCACAGAATCATCGATATGAGTTCATTGGTTGCTCCTAGGGGACAAGTGGTTGGCTGGGAACAGTTTGGAATACTCATTGAAATATTTTCATTGAGTATTCGACGTTCGGTGACTTAATCTCTACCTCAGTAGCTTTACTTGATAACTTACCAACCAAATACATTGTGGAAACTGCCCACAGACATTTAGGCGTCGATTGGTCGTTTCTTAAGGCTTGTTGAATCTCAGCCAATGTGTCGTGGCGACTGAGAATTGGAGCATATCAACAAAGTGTGACATCATCGCGTGCTACCAACATCCTCCTGTTTTCTCAGGCAGTAATATTCATTGTTCTCTTATGCAGGTTCTCTTCAGATCGGTGGCAATGATGGTGCCCGATTACGCTCTAATTGGCGAAATATCCCTCTACTCAATGGGCTTTGTAGAGGCCAAGTCGTAAGTCTGCTTGCTATGACAACTTCGCTTCGTTTGTATCCAGTCGCAAGTAGCTTTAGCGTCAGAAGCTCTTGGCATGACCATGTTTCAATATTTTTGCAACATTTCCCATCTCCAATGTGTCACACATATTCATAAAACTGAGTTTTGGTGAAATATCGAGGTATCCGCCAGTAAGATATGGTTTGCCTCCAATTACAAGTCAACCAATCTGGCTAGTGAAAAAATGTGCCTCGTGAACGGACCTGTCCAGCGAAATGAGCAAGCGATTGTAGGTGCGGACTGACTCGATTCCAAGATGTCGACAATGCGACCTTGCTGTATTCCGTCGCCTCACTGTTTGAGGCCGAAGGGATAAATGTCTGGTTCTGGAAAATTCTGAGCTATTAAGATCCTTTTTGTCTTGCTTAGCTTATCAAGCAAAATCGTGGCCACTTACAAACTGTGCTCCGAACAGCTCTCTTCGCAGCACCACTACGACTACGGTATGCGTGCGGTGAAGTCAGTTCTCACTGCGGCGGGCAACCTTCGTCAAAGGTACCCCGACGAAGACGAGGACAAACTCGTTTTGAAGGCCATCATCGACGTTAATTTGCCCAAATTCCTTGCCCAGGACATTCCCCTGTTTGAGGGCATCATCTCAGACCTCTTCCCAGGTGTTGAGTTGGCCGAGGCCGACTTCTCTTCATTTTTCGCAGCCGTGGAAGAGTGCTTAGCAACACGCAAGCTCCAGTCTATACCATGGTACAACTCCAAGATCCTGCAGATCTACGAGATGATATTGGTTCGCCATGGTCTCATGATCGTCGGAGAGGCCTTGGCAGGCAAAACTCAGGCCTACCAGACTCTCGCTGATGCGCTGACCCAGTTATCGGAGACGAAGACAATGCGTGATGAGACCCCAGTCCACTATGGCATCATAAATCCCAAGTCGATCACCATGGGCCAGCTCTACGGTCAGTTCGATGCCGTCTCGCACGAGTGGTCCGATGGTGTTCTAGCCGTCCTATATAGGAGGTACGCCCAAGCGCAGGACGATAACCGACAGTGGGTGGTATTCGATGGTCCAGTCGACGCTGTGTGGATTGAGAACATGAACACAGTGCTAGACGACAACAAGAAGTTGTGTCTCATGTCGGGCGAGATAATAGCCATGTCGAAGCGCATGAACATGATCTTCGAGTCGGCGGATCTGGAACAGGCCAGTCCTGCCACTGTCTCGCGGTGCGGGATGATTTTCATGGAGCCCTCTGAGTTGGGCTGGCGACCGATGGTCAACTCCTACCTGGAGCACGGCCTGCCTCCCGTCCTAACTGAGGAGCACAGGAACCTCCTGAGGGACCTCTTTGAGTGGCTCATCGACCCCTGTCTCGAGTTCATAACCTACGAGTGCACCCAACTCATGCCCGTCTCCCAACTCCACGCGGTCAGACAACTGATCACACTTTTCGACGCGCATCTCGATCAAATGCGTGAACTCGGTGCCAGGAAATCCGGGGTGGAGGGTGAGTTCTTTACTTCTAGAGTACAAAGCCCTGGAATTTTTCTCCAATCAGGAAAATGGAGAATGTTGTGGAATGGAATGGAGACACGTGCTCTTGGAGTGAGTCAGACAACTTCTGATACGTATTTAAGGAACCCCGACGTACTGTGCAGGAAAAAATGCACGCAGCACACACATGTTAGTGCACGTGTTCAAGGTGGTGGAGTTTGGTGAATGGGAAGTAGATGGCGGGAAACTAGCCAATAGCATTCAAGAGGCAATGTATCCACATTGATCTTAATAACCTGGAATAACTACTGGGGGCGTTCCAGGGAATAGCCACCGTCTGTTCATCCACTGCTCACAGTTGTCATCTCCTTTATTGCAGTCGGGTCATGCACAAACAACCAATGAGGCAAAAATCATTGAGTGACGTCAGCACTTGCAGTGGTGCACCGGGGTTGATTAGTGGGCTAATGACGAATGCTCGACGCTCACATATCTTTTGAGCACATCTCATGCTGGGACAGCGATCGCTGACGGTCCATCCCATTGTGGGCGACGTGTGAATTGTACACAATAACAGCAAGCATTGTAAAGCCATTAATGCAGTTTGCACAGATGTCATCAGACAAATTCAGCATTCACGAACGCACAATGATGTGTTTCGATGCCCACAGGTCAATTTCAGTCTTTACGCAAGCTTCTTGCCTATCAGAAACACGACAGCCAGTCACTTTCTTCGACTGTATAGCTCGATGTGATATTTGCATATTTTCGACTTGACACAGATGAGGATCAGGCAGACGGAGGTGCGTTTGGTCTGACGGAGCAGACAATAACACTTTGGCTGCAGGGTCTTTTTATATTCTCGTTGGTCTGGAGCCTGGGCTCTGCGTTGCCGCTGGATCATCGTGTTCGCTTCGACGCGGTCCTCAGGGGCCTCCTGTCTGGACAGAACCCTCTCTACACGCGACCTGAGTCGGTGAAGCTCACGAAAAACAACTCTCTACCCGAACGCTTGACAGTCTACGACTTCATGTTTGAACGAAAGGCAACTGGATCTTGGGTGGAGTGGTCTTCGAAGCTCTCCGTCCCCGAGCTTGGACGCGACGATCGCCCTGAGGATATGATCGTCCCTACCGCTGAGACTATCCGCATTTCTTACTTCCTAGACATCTACCTCTCGCACCGAATTCCCATGCTAATTGTCGGACAAACTGGTAGGCAGATGTAAATATTAACTGCGCTTTCAGCTTTCGAGAAAAGCTGGACCAAGATTTCCATAATTTGAAATGTGTACAAGACTCACCAATAGGCGCGTTCTTGTCAGAGGAATGGACATTGGCAGAATCATATGACTTCACACCTAACTAGCCCAGTACTTGGTCGCTGTAAAGACGATAAGTTGGAATGCTTGGGCGTTGAGTACCTAGCTTGCGCACTGATTTAATCTGCCCTTTCAGGAACTGGGAAGTCTGTCCTCGTGAATCGACACCTTGTCACCCTCCCCAAGGAAGTCTACATCCCCAATACACTCAACTTCTCGGCTCGTACCTCAGCGAACCTGACCCAGGACATAATTATGTCGCGTCTGGATCGTCGCAGACGGGGCGTGTTTGGTCCACCCCCGGGCAAACAGTGCATTGTCTTCGTGGACGACCTGAACATGCCTGCCAAGGAGGTGTACGGCGCGCAGCCACCCATCGAACTCCTCAGGATGTGGATTGATCATGGCCACTGGTACGACACGAGAAACAACTCCAAGCAGTTCCTGATTGATGTGGTGAGTGAGAGTTGCTACGCGGATTTTTTTTAAAAGTCGGATATTCAAGGGGTGTGTTTGCAGAGTTCTTGTGAACCAATGAAAGGTGAGTAGGGGATCTACAATTGCCAACCGCCTTCGGTACCCGCTTCAACTGATATTCAACCAAAAGCTATTTAGTCAACAGCCTTTAGTCGTCAAGCCCAACTCCTATCTTACTTCCACCCCTCATGCACTTTTAAATGACCTCAAAACGGCCTACTTCGCTCAACTGTGTCTACTTTCTCGTGGTTGTAGTTGTTTCTCGCCGCGATGGGTCCGCCAGGAGGTGGCAGAAACGACATCACCACGCGATTTACACGCCATTTGAATGTTTTCGGTGTGAACGAGTCAAGCGACGCGACAATGAGTCGCATCTTCTCAATCATAGCAGACAAACACTTCGCAAAAGGCTACGACCCGCAATTCAGTCGTCTCTCGAAGGTGAGCTTTCGAAAAGTGATTCTCATTGGATCTGCTTCGTGTTTGGGAACTAACATAAGCACAAGTTGTAACAGTACTTCAATTTGTTAAATTGCAGAATACTGGCTTTTAATGGAACGTGTCTAGATGACTCCGTTAAGGCATGAGTCGAACCATCCTGGACCCATGTACCATGTTTCCAAACGGCTTTAAACGATGCGTGCATCATTTACCAAACCGGAATGTTTTGCAACTTCAGGTAATGGTGCAGGCGACGCTGGAGACCTACAAGCGAGCCATCGCATCGTTCCTGCCCACACCGGCAAAGTCGCACTACGTCTTCAACATGAGGGACTTCGCTCGAGTCATCCGCGGCACCCTCCTTGTGCCCCCGGCCAGCATGAAGGAGGGCGAGAAGTTCATGCGTCTCTGGGTCCACGAGGTCGGTGTTCCTCCCACTCCCTCCTGAGGCCCCTACCGTTTTGTGTTTGAGCATTCCTCAACCCGGTGTCTTCTATGACATGATTAGCTTCTTAATTAATTCTGAATCAAATAACCGACAGATCCAGTTGAGTTTTTGAATGCAGTATGGCGATTACAACACTTAACACAGCTTCTTACGCAAATATGATTGGCTGAATGAAACTCAAGGCCCTATTCTCACCTGAATCGATTCAGTTGACCCACCAGATTAATCATGATTGTATAAGGCCCGACGAGAAATCTCAACGTCTGGATTGCCATAAACCATTGTGCGTCGCCCTAAATCCTCATTGATCAATTTGTGTAGGTGTACCGGGTATTCTACGACCGTCTGACACTTGATTCTGACCGCGACAAGTGGTTTGAAATAGTTAAGGACACCTTGGCCAACGTCTTCAAGGTTACAATAGATAAATTGCTTGGGTACCTGAATCCGTCCGGCAATGTCACGGACGAAGACATTCGTTCGCTTATGTTCGGCGACTACATGAACGACGACCACATCTACGATGAGGTGGCAAGCATGGAGGAAATCAGCGCGCGCATGCAGGCCTTCCTGGACGACTACAATTCAATTACGAAAACACCGATGAATCTGGTGCTTTTCCAGTTCGCCATGGAACACGTGAGCCGAGTGTCTCGAGTGCTGAAGCAGGATGCTGGACACTGTCTGCTTGTTGGTGAGTTGTCCTCAGTCGAACATTGTCTTCATTCAGCTCAAAACACATCAATAAAAAGTGTTTAACAAAATTTGGTAAAAGATGTGAATAATCATGATCGACCCAGCTCACTACTCAAGGCCAGTCGACTATTTGCTGACCACGACAAGCGGAATTATCGATAACTGGTCTCGGGAACGGAGACAGGCGTTTTTGCTACAAACACACTTAGAGAATCTGGATTGATTGCTGTAATATTTACCAAGAATGAGGGAACAATTGCAATTGTATAAATGGATTCTCTAAATTCGACAAAGTCAAAGGGTCATGAGCAAGAACGTCTATGCACAAAAAGCAGTTGGTTCGATCTTCCAAACTCGGAAAACGACAAATCCGTTCATCGAGTTTGGTTCGAATTTGCGGTGGAGTTAGAAACAAACAAAGGGACACCAAGCACATTTAGTGTAATTTCGACGCTCCACACTCATGAAGGTGCGTATGCGTTGTTTAGGTGTGGGTGGCAGCGGTCGACACAGCGCTGTGCGTTTGGCCGCGCACATGGCCGACTACGAGTACTTCACGATTGAAATAACGCGCAGTTACGGCTCCAACGACTGGCGCGAGGACTTGAAGAAGCTGCTGCTGAAGGCGGGCCTCGAGGGCAAACCGACGGTCTTCCTGTTCGCCGACAGTCAAATCAAGATGGAGTCCTTCATGGAGGACATCTCGATGTTGCTGAACACCGGCGATCTGCCGAACATCTTCCCCGCCGACGAAAAAGCCGACATGCTTGATAAGTTGCAGACAATTGCCAGAGAGGCGGTGAGTCAATCGATCTTAGCACTTTGCACTTCGCAATCACCTCAAGGAAATGTTAGCACAACTCCGAGTTGTTTAAAGGGTATTAAAATGATAGATGATTTAGAGGATATGTGGGTAAATTGCATGAATTTTGACCTCAAATTTTCCACCCGAATGTGGAAGGTGATCACCTCGGGATCACTGGTGTGAGTCCTGAAGTTTACCTAAAGTGTTTGGTGGATGGCTCAATACTGCTGTTTGCAGCGCCGTGCACGTGAGGACAAGCGCAGAGGGGATCTGGGTGAAGAATAACGTCAACCAATAAGATTAGTCTGAACTAGCAAACGCCTATAGGCCCTTGATTGGTGAAAAGCCGGGTTAGTGCGATAGGAGAAGTGTGCACAGGGCCTCACGCTCACACGTGTTCGCATGGGCTTTGAGGATTCTGCTAAGAAGGGGCGGAGGCAGCTGGGGTGTGGAGGAGCCACCTATGGGCAGCATGTGGCAGAATCGTGGAAGCTTGATATTCGCGACTTGACGTACGCTTTTTATATCCTTTTGTTTAGCTTATTTCTGAAGACGTAAGTCTGCACATCTTTGCACACACCCACGCACCTTTTTAAGGCACCCGGCACACAGATGCGAAACCCCTTGTGCTAGCACGTGATATGCCTCCACCACCAGTACTCGGACAAAACACGCATGAGTCAGCGCCTCCCCACGCTAGAGCAAGGCAAGGCCACACCTCGTGCTGTGGACCTTGTGCATGTTCACAAGGTCCCGGCGGTGACGGCGTGGGCAATTTTGAGTGCGGGTTAGAGTTTAGCACACCCAAAAGTTAGTAAGCCGATAGAAAGAGGACGGAAGATATGAATACGAAGTTGTTGTGCATGGGGATAGTTGATGATGGTAAATTGAGGTGTCGAAAGCTTGGTGAATCCCCAACACACCCACGTGGATTCTCGCTCAATTTTACGCACAGGCCTTCAAACACACGCAGATAAGTGTGTGAATTGCTGGGTGGAATCGGTGTCCCGAAAAGTCCTCTTTTCCAACTGGGGAAGTATCACGGCTTCTGAAGCACCGTGAGAGAGCCCATCGCATGTGGGAGACACCTATGAGTCGGTGGACTGGGGAGGTGCTGCTTGTGAGGTTTCGTAGTCAATGGCTGGTTTTCTTTTACCAGGGCAAAAAATTAGAGAGCTCACCACTGGTCCAGTACAACTACTTCATCGAGAGAGTTCGCATGAATCTGCACATTGTTCTCGTGATGAGCCCAATCGGTGACTCGTTCCGGAACCGTCTCAGGATGTTTCCGTCCCTGATCAACTGCTGCACCATCGACTGGTTCCAGGTGAGGTTTCAAATCTGCGGTTAGGTGTTTGAAGTGGAAGAACAAGTGCTAGATTTCCAGTATTGCGAAGCCTAGAGTCCACGTGTTGTCAAATTGGGGTAAAGTTCTCACAGCCATCTAGCATTTCTAACCAATTCATGCACCCGTAATTTGGTGATCTGGCTTATATAATTACAAGAAAGCTTACTTTATTTTCACAAATGTCATTTAGCTAACTTTAAAGGCATGTCATGCATAACTTTGTCAGTACCTGTTGATTTTGGGAGCATTTTAACAAAAAGTGCACAACCGACATAGAAAGCTGTTGAGACTGACAAGGGGCTATGCCAGGTTCTCGATGTTGACGTCTGATTAGACCGTGTGTGTGCGTGTGTGTGTGCCAAAATTGGTTTGCACGATTCACTTCGAGTTGATGTTGAATAATCGTGCAGGAGATTAGAGGAGTTGTAAAGGCAGCATGCTAAATTGCAGAAATGTGTGCTACGCATCTCAAACGTATTAAAATTTTGTCTATTTTTGAACAAAACTTTTGCAATGACGCCAATCAAATTTGGTCGCGGTGAAGGCCGGTGAATTAACTTAAATCACTTTGAAAAATGAGCTGCTTCCAGCCACCGGATGTGCCACAAATATCAAAGAAAAAATGTCATCGTGGTCTAGTGAACAAAAACGTTTGGTTGGTTAAACTTCCACTGGTTATGCCGATGACAAGTCGAGAATGGTACGATTTCTATTGGAAAGGTTCTGGATTTCCACGACCGCTGAAATGTAAAGTTGCCGGAAAGTCGGCAAAGGATCATCGACCAAAGTGGAACATAAATGGTTGATTAGACTTCATTTTTTATGCTAAAAATGAGTTTTATTTTACTCTACGAAACATTCAAATGACGCGGACGTTTTTTCTGTTTGCAGGCTTGGCCCAAAGACGCGTTGGAGATGGTGGCCATCACCTCCTTTGAGGACATAGAACTCGAGCCGGAAGTCCGGGATTCCATCGTAACCATCTGCAAACACTTCCACGAGAGCGTCCGCCTTCTCTCCCAGAAGTAAAGTCTTAGACCATTTCTGTTCCAGTCTAATTCCCGAGTAATTAGCACTTGCATAACTTCGGGCCTTTTTTCAGGTTCCTGGAACAGCTGCGACGCCACAATTACGTTACTCCCACGTCTTACCTCGAGCTAATTCACACATTCAAGAAGCTGCTCAACCAGAAGCGCAGTGAACTGACCCTGATGCGAAATCGCTACCTAACCGGCCTCAAAGAACTCGACTTCGCAGCCGAGGAGATCAGCAAGATGAAGGTGGAACTGGTGGAACTGCAGCCGCAGCTGATTGCGACCGGTGCCGAAACTGACGAACTCCTCGCCAAGGTGGCGAAGGACACGATCCAGGTGGAAGCCCAGCGAACCGTGGTCGCGTCGGATCAACTGATCGCCAACCAACAGGCCGCGGCAGCCCAGTCTATCAAGGATGAATGTGAAGCGGACTTGGCCGAGGCATTGCCCATTCTCAGCGATGCTCTGGCCTCACTGGATACTCTCAAGCAGAATGTAAGTGCGGTCACTTAAGCTCCGTTGCACCGGTTGTCGGAAATCCTTGTGTATGGTTTTCCAGGGTTGTTTCAAAGTGATCGCGACTCTCATTCAACTCGAATTTCGAAATCCTAACTCATTTCTTCTTCCGTGTTTTTTTTGTGACGATTACGATGGCCTCTACATTGAGGCCATGTTGTACCTTGTACCACCAAGGTTAGGTTCGTTAATCCTCCTGCCATTCTGTTACAGGACATTACACTGGTTAAATCTATGAAAAATCCACCCTCCGTTGTCAAGTTGGTAATGGAAGCGGTGTGCATTATGATGCAAGAGAAGCCAGACAGAAAACCAGATGCATCCACGGGTAAGATGGTGGAGGACTATTGGACCGTCTCGCTGAAACTCCTCGGTGACCTCAAGTTCCTGGAGAAACTTAAGTCCTACAACATCGATGCGATTCCAGCGGCGGCGATGAAACGCATTCGCGACATCTACATACCCAACAAAGACTTCAACCCGAAGATTGTCCGCAACGCAAGTACGGCCTGTGAGGGATTGTGCAAGTGGATCATCGCGTTGGATAAGTACGACGCCGTTGCCAAGGTGGTCGCTCCAAAGAAGGCCAAGCTAGCTGTCGCGGAGAAAGAGTTGGAAGTTCAGGTAAGTCTGTGATCTTCCACAATGGCATTGTTTAATAGCCCAATCTGTCATTTGGTAGTGGATGCTACTTGCCTGAGGCTGGTTCGCACTTAGTAAAGTTCAAAATATAAAAAACAAGGCCAATTAGAAGGTCTGAGGTGACTCCTTCAGTAGCAACCGAATTTATCAAACTCCTGTGGCAGTAATAGTGTATTTAGTCCTTTGTTTGAATTGTTGAAAACGTGCGTTTTGTTGTCTTCGATCTAGAACCAGAAGCTCTCGGAAAAGATGGCCATTTTGGAGGCCGTCGAAGCGAAAATGGCCAAACTGCAGGCCGAACTTGACGCCGCACAGAAGAAGAAACAGGACCTCATTGAGAACATTGACCTCTGTGGAAAGAAGTTGGAACGCGCGACGCAACTCATCAGTGGCCTCGGCGGCGAAAAGACCCGTTGGACGGCCGCGGCCAAACGGTTGAAGGTACGTTTCCGCTCCTCTGGTCTTCATCAATCCTTGCAGACCAGATTTCTAAAGCACACCCTTCTCTAAATTCGCACAGAACTTATAGTGAATCATGTTGAATCACGTCCAATAACCCAGTCGTCGCAGCCTCCATCACACGTCCCCCCTTTTCACGGCGTGCCCGTCAGTCACGTGAGGCCGCCGGTTCATTAACCCCTCTGCATGTACCACCAC